TACGCAATAAAAAAGGGAGAGTGAAGTAGAAAGGAGGACTTAGGTTTCGGAAAGGAAAGGGAGTTTCTCGTGCTACGGGAAGAGAACCAGTTGAAACAGTGGAGGTGAGGTGGACACAGATTGAGTTTGAGAGAATGGATAAGGGTAACAAGATGTGAATTACGTCTCTTAGACAAAGGGGAAGTGTCAGCAAGGGCATAAAGGGTGGAAGATGGAAGCATGCGGGGTTTTCGAAGGAGGATTTTGAGAACTTTTTTGTGTTGAATCTCGAGCTTGGCAGCACGGGTTGTGGAAATTCCAGCCCAAGCAGTATCTGCATAATCAAAAATGGGGCGTAAGTAAGCTGAGTAAAAGAGGAGTTTACAAGAGATTGGGAGATGGTAACAGTGAGAAGAGAGAATTCCTAAAGATGAACTTGATCGTTTACATATGTAATCGATGTGGGGTTCCCATGAAAGATTAGAGTCAATGAAAATGCCAAGATGCTTATGGCTGGAGACTATGTCTATAGGCTGGGGGAAAGTGAGATGGAGGAGGGGCGGAACATCGGGCTGAAAAGGAAAGAGTATGATTTTAGTTTTAGACAGATTGGGCGATAACCGCCAAGACGACATCCAGGAAATAACTCTTTGAATCCCGTTAGCTAGGTTACTCATCAGGCCAGTGATGTTAGGAGATGCCCGTAGGAGCGTTGTGTCGTCTGCGAACAGTGATGTGCCCGGGGCAGCTGCGGGCAGATCATTGACGTATAAAATAAAAAAAGGGGGCTGAGGATGGAACCCTGGGGAACTCCGGATAGTACTGTTGTGTCGGCCGAGGACGTCCCATGTACCGTGACGTACTGCGTTCGCCCAGTTAGGTAAGATGTCAGCCATAGCAGGGGATTGCCGTCTACAGTAAATGATCCATGAAGCTTGGCCAAAAGCCCCCGGTGCCAGACGGTATCGAAGGCCTTGGCAAGATCGAAAAAACAGGTCCCGACTAGATCTCCAGCATCCCGATGTCGACACACTAATTGCACCAGGCGCGTCAGCTGGAGGGTGGTAGAATCGCCTCTGCGAAATCCGGACTGAGCTGAACTCAAACGTGACGAGACATGACAGTACAATTGGTCGTAGAAAACGCGCTCACAGAGTTTGGAAACACAGGACAGTAGAGATATCGGACGGTAGTTTGATGCTTCGTGGCGGGACCCTTTCTTGTAGATCGGTATAACATTAGCTGTTTTCCATGCAGAGGGAAAACGACCAGTGTGGAATGATAGGTTGAAAATCAGACATAAGGGGTATGCTATTGAGGGCGCAAGGGACTTTAATACCAGATTAGTGATGCCGTCTGGGCCCGGAGCCTTGTCAGACGGGAGCTTTCGAATGTAACGTCGAATGGCAGCAGTCGTAGTAAAGACAGATGTGAGACGGTCAACCTCACCCGACTCCTCGGCAATGGGGGGAATGGGTAGAGAAGGGTCATCAGGCACGGCCACTGAGGCGAACTGAGAGTTCAATGCAGTGGCTTTAGCTGAAGAGGTAGTAGCCTGCTGCGTAGAACTAATGGTGAGTGTCGGGATGTCACGAGATACTTTATGATTTTTTAATTTGTTCACGAACTGAAACAGTGATGGGCGGTTTTTGTCCTGCAGCGTAGCTTGTACAGACCGAATGTATCCCCGGTATTTCGATCGAGTCAGACTCTTCACCAAGTTCCGTTGAGATCGATATACATGCATGTTAAGCTGGGTTGGGTATTTCTTACACACACTGTAGAAATCGTGCTTTGCCTTAATGGCGGCACGGAGGGGGGCATCAACCCAAGGTGGCTGACCTAAACGTCGGCATGAGGGGGAGGAGGGAGAGAGTGGACGCCGGGAGAAGTACCCAAGGTGCTTCTCCATGGACCTGCTAAGAATAGAGTGGAAAGACGAAAGAGCGTCATCCACGTGCGAGCTGCGGAGGTGACATTTCCAGTGGACATCAGCAAGTTCAGCATTCAGGTCATCCCATACGCAACATGGCACCAACTTGAAATTGTAACCTGGGGGTGTAGGGGTAGATGTTGGGAGGAAGTGATGGTGTAGGGTTGGATTTTTGGACGTGGCAGGGAGACGGACTCGACAGATGAGCTGCACGTGGTCAGAGCTACCCAGTGGAGCGGCTGAATCAACGGAGAGGAACTGTTGGGGTGAATTTGTGACGATGAGGTCCAAGCAAGATGACCGGCCACTTGGGCTCCAGTGCGTAGGGAAGTTGACCAGTTGCTCTAATCCGAAGCACCTGAAGGCAGTTTCAAGGCACTATAGCGGAACTCACTGTTATGTGCAACATCTACTTTACATCGGTGAAGCCTCTGGCGAATCTTCAGCAACCGGGCTTGGAGGCCATCTGGCTTGAGCTTCGCACAGCCAACTCACCCCAACGTCCACTCATAGTCTGCGCCACCTACCGACCTCCTGGTGGTACCCTGGCGGATATCCAGGCCTATTCTGATGGTCTGGAAGACTGCCTTCTGTCAATTAATCTATCTGAATCCACACTACTCCTCACCGGTGACTTCAATGCCCATAACTCGGAGGTTGCACATAACAGTGAGTTCCGCTACTTTGTTGACCACTGAGCGGCAGTTGAGGGAAAGGATGGTAAGGCCAGTATGGATGGGAGGATAAAAGGGACGAGCCAGTGGATTCAGTGTTCCAGTAGTGTTGGGGAAGACAAGGTTACTTATACAGTCTACTCGCGATAAGTCACGCACAGTGTCCTGGAATAGAAAATGCGCGACTTACCGAGAGTGCGCGACTTACATTATACACCACGTCATGCATATGTACAGCCGTCATTTTTTCTTCTGCATATGGACATGTGTGCTGAACACGCGTACAAGCACTGTACTGAGCTGCATGCGCACGGTAGACCTACACTGTCTGTAGTCTACACTGACTGACACTGTACACTGCTGTACACGAGACGTAGATCTACCACAGCGTGAAGCCATGATCCGTTGATCGATATGAAGGCATGATCGAGAAAGAAAAGTAACGACGTTCCGTTACTTTTGCCGTTTTGGTAGGGATTTGACAAGACGCACTTCTGTTTCAGTCGTGTAAACACTTCGTTTCCCTTTGCTTGACGATGCCTTCTCATAAGAAAACGAAAGAACAGCGAACAGTGGCTGATCGACTGCGTTTGGTTCGTCTCTATCGTGAGAGTGGAAAAACCTCCGCTCGAAAATTTGCGAAGTTGAACAATGTTCTGGAGGCGATGTTCCGCGGCTGGCTGAGGGATGCTGAAGCTGGCAAACTCGCCGATGCTAATCCGTCTGGTCCACAGGGAGTCCGCAACAGAAGTTCCCAGCTCGGGAAAATTGAGGAGCGGCTAGTGAAGTATATTTTGCTTCGAAGGGAGAAGTTTGTGACTGACAAACTTGGATTGTCGTGGGTGATCCTGAGGGTGAAGGCTCTCATACAATATGCACATAATAATTATATTCTTACCTTTACAGTATTCAAGCTCCATCATTGAAAACCACATCATTCGCAAATATTCACGAAATCCACGAAATCCACAAAATCCCGAAAAATAAAAAAATCTTGAGGTGGGTGTCCTGGATGAAAAAGTGCGTGACTTATCGCGAGTGCGTGACTTAAAAGTGCGTGACTTATCGCGAGTAGACTGTAACATCATGCTGCATGGGTTCCACAGTGGGGCAAAAAGGTGGTGGCTGAGAGAGAGTGGGTGAAGTCATAGTTAGTTGTAGGAGGTAGCAATGCGGTCAAATGCGAATCGCCATTCTCGTACACGCAGGGTTTCTGGCCAAAAGTCGGCAGACATAGATCGTTCAAAGTCGGATTCCGCAAGAACCACGTGGGCAAAAGCCAGTCCGAAGTACTTCGTTTCCGAAACTGAGCATTTTATTACGGATACTCCCCTGTCGCTACACCACTTCTCAATGCTCTCCGCAGAACATCCAGGGTGGACGTTTCCCACATAAAGGGCTTTGCATTTTGTTCTGGATGCCGCTCGTAGGGTTGTTGATTGTTTTGGTGGGCGCTGATAGTAGGATGTGACGGCAGTCTTAGATCCGGAGGAGTGTGCTGTGGATCGTGTCGTTGACGTGGGTACTGTGACATGTGACGTGACCTGAGTGCCTGGGTGACTTTGATATCGCGTAGTGCGACTCGTACTGGGGCGTCCCCGTACGTTGTCCCGATCATGTACCTGTGGCCATGGTGACGACTGTACTGCCGCACTGTACGTCCCGACGCTGTCAGCAGCAAGCGGTGGAACTTCAACCTCTAGTAAGGGGACTCCCTTCTCCTCTGCAGCCTTTATCTCCCGCCCCCGGTCGTCTCTCAGCGCTGCCAACTCGTCACTGATGCTAGCGACAATCCGTATCATCTCATCCAAACGCTCAACGACCCCAGCAGCTGATGAGTGTAGCACACCCACACCAGCCTCGCGAAGTTTCCCAACCACCTCCGCGCGAGCCATATTGTCCAGGCCATCAATGCTATACCGCCGAGCTAAACCTCGCAGTTCCTCGAAAGTGAGAATGGCCAAGTCTACGACGTCACCCAGGCTCATCCTGCACCAGATTACCGCAGACACGGCCGCAGCAAGTCTCGAAAACAGCGTCGTAGAGACAAGCCAGCAGTGTGAACAGAGGCGCGAGCACTCCACTCCAGCGCGTGATCCAGCGCCAGCCCTAGCGCTAAGGATTAGACCAGACCTGGACCAGGACTTCATCCAATGGCAGGACACTGCCAACTCAGCCAACCTGAAGATACAACAGCAGCCCCAGCCAGCTCCAGACCAAACAGCAACCAAGCAACTCAGCAGCCAAGCAAGCTTCTTCCTACCCCTTTCCAAGTTTTTTTAGATCATTAAGGTTCAAGTTAGAAACCGGTAAAATACAGTAGATGTCGTAAATCCAGGCTGACCTGATGTGGAACCCTACATCTGAAAACACTGCTTCACGCACCTTCTCGGAATTCCATTTTCACGAAACCCCATTTGTGTGCATTTTCATAACAGATCTCACATGATCGTAGCTTGACAGAACTGTCCAGTGCTTGCTCTCATCATCACAGTGTCAACCTTACATCCGAGTTTTGAAACTTTCATTTTAACTTCAACCTGCCAGGTAGGAACTTGATTTCAGTTTGTTTGCGCATTTGGAGACGTGTTCTAGCTACATGCAGGTACCATGCCTTTGAATATGCCAGTCATCGTGACTCCTTGTTAGTGGGTTTGTGGCTGTTCCCTTTGCCTGACAGTATACATGTACATGTATATGAATGTCTGGCTTCGTTTTCGTTCTTGCTCATTCCCATGTAACTACTGATGAAAATGGGTGAAAAGCTTTTAGTATTATGAAACTGACAACCTTGTTGTTGTGTGTATATGAATGTACATGTATATATATGAATGTACATGTATGAATGTACATGTCACATATATGAATGTACATGTCACATATATGAATGTACATGTCACATATATGAATGTACATGTCACATATATGAATGTACATGTCACATATATGAATGTACATGTCACATATATGAATGTACATGTACATGTAATTATATGAATGTACATGAAGTCAAGGCGCAGAACATTTAGCTCGGGCTCTTTTCCTCCGAAAACTCGCTCAAACTGATAAACTTGCTCGTAAAACAATACGGACTGCCTGCTTTGGACGGCACAATACAGCTGGCAGTTACGGATTACTATGGCCTAGAACGCTCGTGCATTCAACTCTACTAGTGATGTTGTCTTACCATTGATGGTGGTGACTCGGGAAGCGGCGGCCGTGCTGGTTGTGGCTGGTACGGCTGTTGTTCCAGTGTATGTTGTGGCTGTTGTTGCAGCTGTTGTTGCAGCTGTTGCACTGGTGTTATACGGCACGGTGACAGAGGAACTTGCTGCTGTCTAAGAAGCCACGTGTATATGTGTGTGTGTATGTGTGCAGATTACGGAAAGTCAAAGAAATTGTGTCACAACCTCCACCAGTTTCCTACAAAAACAGAGTTCGTGGTCACCCTGAATATTCTCATAACACAACAAAGTTGCCAAAACCAGTTAATTGAACGGATTTCTGACGCCTGATCATGGGGTGGTGGCGTCCCACGGAAGCGGAAAGACGATTCTCGACCCGCCCTGTACGTGAACCTGTGAAACTCTTTTTTGTGGGAGACAAACGAACTAATCACTTCAAGAAAACGAACAAGTTTCTACCTCTTCTACTTCTAGTATAATTTGCCCCCCCCCCCCAGGACGACTAGAACAGGTAGTTGGGGAACGAAACCCACAATGTTTCATGTTCCGCTCGCCATGTGATGTGGTCTCGCTAGATGCCACGGCTCCCTGATGTGAGTATAATCGCACGCACCCACGCACATGCGCACGCACACTCACACTCGCACACATGCAGAGTCGTGTTCAACTCACCGAGGGACTAGCGGGGGCGCTGAAATTCGTTGATGGGATCTGGACCCAAAAAGTAGGCATCATATGCACAACGGTGCATCTGCAGAGATGCCAAAATGGACACAACACATAATACATAATATTATAATAGTATGGTAGTTTAGGGGGAAAGGGAGATATGGATACGAATTGAGAGTAACTGTCCACCACTGTAACATGACCATATATAGTGTCAAGTAACAGTGGTGGATAGTTACTCTTAGCTTGTATCCATATGTCCCTTTCTGCTATGTATACGTCATACTTCATAATATGATGACTCCTCTTTTCTCTATCATACTGAGCATGCGTCATAACAACATGGTCTTTTGTCCGTCACTACTCTATGAACTGTTTGTGTGTCTGTGAGGTCCGACACAACAATGGCGACGAAGTTGGGATGAATTTGTTTTGGTCGTTTTACCTTACTGTGTATTTAGCTACTTACCTGTAGCTGTGCTATTTCTGCATCATGGCAAAGGCCACGATAGAGCCGTTCGACGGCGGAGACTTTGAGGAATACCAGGAAAGACTAAATTTTTTTTTCATTGCCAATGAAATTGGACAATTGGCGTCCAGTGCGTCAAACGCGGATAAGGTGAAAGCTGACAAGCGCATGACGGCTTACCTTATTTCTCTACTGTCGAAGACTGTTTACTCGACGTTGAAGACCCTGTGCTTGCCAAAAAACCCGACGGATTTCAAGTACTCCGAGATCGTTGACAAGCTGAAAGTACATTACAAGGTGAAAACCTCACGGACGACGGCGACACACAAGTTCCGTCAATGTGTTCAAGGGCCCTCGGAGAGTGTTACTGATTATTCTCATAAACTCCAGCGCTGTGCTGTAGAGTGCAAGTTCGGCGATCATTTGGACAGAGCTCTTTGTGATCAGTTTGTGGCTGGGCTGCGCGATCTAGACACACGCAAATTTATTTTGTCAAAGCCGGACGACGACGTAAAGTCATTTCAGAACGTATTTCAACTGGCGTTGACGGAGGAGACGGCAGGTCTGTTTGCTCGTACTCTACAGGCCAGTGGGAGCGCCAGGGACCAAGTCCAAGATGACGGAGTGCACGAGTTGCGGACGAGGCACTCGTCGGACAAGCACAAATTTCAGTCAAAGTCCAAGTCCAAAACACCCACTACTAAGTCTAAGGCATGTTATCGTTGTGGTGCCGCCAGCCATTTGGCCACTGCGTGTCAGCACAAAGACACTCGCTGCCGACACTGCCACAAGACTGGCCATCTGGAGCGGGTGTGTCTGTCCAAGAAACGCCAGCAAGATTGTCATCAACTCCAGGAGACGATCAGTTCTGATGATGGTGAGAGCGTTCCTATGTACCATGTATATACTGAATGTGTGAATGCTACTAGTACTACTAAATCGAATGCACCTCTGTACGTACCTGTGGAAATTAATGGTGTGACTGTAGAAATGGAGGTCGACACAGGCAGTGGTGTAACGATACTCACAGAGAAAGATTTTCAACAGTGCAATGGCGATTTGAATACATTGCAGAAATCTACAGTCATTCTCAGAGGATTTTCTGGTGCCGAAATTAAATGCATTGGGGAATTTCCAGTACCTGTCACGATTAACGGGAAAACTGAATCTGTTACTGTACGCGTTGTTGCAACTGAGGGTCCCTCCTTACTGGGTCGTGATTTACTTAACGTGTTCACTCTTCCCTGGAAACAAATGTTAGCCGAGAAGGTCCATCGTACCCTGGGTACTGACCAATTTCAGAAAGAGTTCCCTGCACTATTCGATCACTCGACATTGGGAAAAATGAATGGCGTTCAGATACACTTGCATGTGGATGATGGGAAGCCAAGGTTTTGCAAACCTCGTTCGGTACCTTTTCATATTCGGGAACAGTATGAGGCTTCTCTTGACAAGCTCGAACGGGACGGTGTTATTCAGAAAGTTACGCACTCAGACTGGGCAGCTCCTACAGTGCCTGTGAGAAAACCTGATGGCTCCATCCGGGTATGTGGTGATTACTCCGTTACCATCAACAAATGCTCCAAAATGGATCACCACCCACTGCCAACACTAGACGAAATGCTTACCAAGCTATGTGGGGGTGAAAGGTTCACTAAACTGGATCTCTCCCAAGCATACCATCAGCTAGAGCTATCACCAGAATCCCGAGTCTATACTACTATCAACACACACCGTGGTTTGTACGAATTTACTAGATTACCGTTCGGAGTAAATTCAGCAGTTTCAATTTTCCAACGAACCATGGAAAATTTACTAGCGGGTCTTCCGGGTTGCGTCGTGTATATCGATGACATCCTTGTCACTGGGAAGACGGATGAGGAACACGCACAGAATTTGCGGCGAGTCTTACAACGACTTGAGGACGCTGGCATGAAATTGAAACACAGCAAAATTGAATTCATGTCGGATGTTGTGGTCTACTTGGGTCACAAAATATCAGCGCGTGGTGTACAACCTACAGATGAACGGATCGATGCATTGAAAAGCGCGAAACCACCCAAAGACGTAGCGGAATTGCAATCTTTCATTGGGTCTGCTAACTATCTACGGCGATTTATTCCACATTTTGCTGAGCAAATGGCACCACTCTATACTCTGTTAAAACGGGATACTAAATGGAACTGGGGTCCCACAGAACAACAGGCATTTGAACAGATACGCAATGCTATGAGTACCGATGCAATGCTCAGTCATTTCTCCATGACCAAGAATGTGGTTTTACAAGTCGATGCCTCAGGTTTCGGACTGGGCGCTGTGTTGCTACAAGAGGATGAGGATGGTTTCTTGCGTCCTGTAGCCTATGCTTCCCGGGTTCTTACCGCTCCGGAAAAGAATTACTCACAAATCGAACGTGAGGCTCTTGCTTTGGTTTTTGGTGCGAATAAGTTTCGACAATACCTATTGGGCAAATCGTTCACACTCAGAACGGATCATAAGCCGTTGCTCTCACTATTTGATCCACACAATGCAGTGCCTACGCTTACATCAACCCGTTTAAAGAAATGGCGTTTGGTGTTATCCGCTTACGATTACCGGCTTGAATTTGTCAAGGGAAAAGAGAACATTTTCGCTGATTACTTGTCACGTAAACCAACCATGAATGTACCATCAGTTGAGGAGAGTGTTACGGAGGAAATCCTACACTTTGAAACGGAGAATATTCTCACTGCAGATACAGTAGCTACGGAAACTAGAAAGGATCCTACTCTTACTCAGGTTATGCAATACGTAAAATTTGGGTGGCCTGTTAATGTTGATACCAAATTGCAACCTTACTACTCACGGCGATTTGAGCTTACTGTACAAAATGGTGTACTGATATGGGATTCTCGTGTGGTTATTCCGAATTCCTTACAACACCTTCTATTGCAGGATTTACACTCAGAGCACACCGGAATTGTGCGTATGAAGAGAATGGCTAGGCAATATGTATGGTGGCCTGGTCTGGATAGTCACATTGAGAATACCGTGAAATTATGCAGGCTTTGCCAGGAGAATGCCAAGAAGCCAGCAAAGGACCACGGTTCTTGGTCCTGGCCAGCTGGGCCATGGAAACGTCTACACTTGGATTTTGCGGGTCCATTTCTGGGTACTATGTTCCTTGTATTGGTGGACTCGTATTCCAAATATATTGATGTCGTACCAATGAAATCTGCAACTACTCAGGGTGTAATTACAATGTTACGTTCTAATTTTGCTATTTTTGGCTTGCCGGAGCATGTGGTCACAGATAATGGCAGCCAATTCACGAGCGCAGAATTCAAGTCATTCTTATCCAGTAATGGCATCGTGCATACGCTAACGGCACCTGGGCATCCTGCCACTAACGGTTTGGCCGAACGCTATGTGGGACATTTCAAATCTAAAGTCAAGCTCCTGACATCAGAGACTGATTTGTCCTCTGCCTTGTACCGGTTCTTACTCACTCATCGCACTACACCTACGGTGAGTGGCAAGTCACCTGCAACTCTACTAATGAATCGTCAGCCACGAACAAGGTACGATCTACTACATCCGACTACTGCAGCCGCTTTGGATCAGCAAGTGCGTTCATTTCAACAGAATTGCTCGAATACTCCCGAGTATAGTGTTGGTGATGCTGTCTATGCACTGAATTTCAGCAATTATGGGTCGAAGTGGGTACCAGGCGTCGTTCTCAGTATTGTCAGCCCCATGAATTACCGTATTCAGGTTGACGAAGTGGTGTGGAAACGCCATCGGAATCAATTACGGCCTCGTTCCATCCCGGGTGCAATGATTCCCAGTCTGCAACCTCCAGCTGAAGTGGTGGATTCATCGTCTGTGCCGACTCCGCCTATGTCGGTACCACCAGCTGTGACATCTACGCCGCCGGATGAAACACCGGCTCAGTCAACAGCACCTTGTACTCAGGCACCTATAACGCCCGATCTGTCGGCTGCGCCGGCTCCTCATAGTTTGCCGAAACAGCCTGAGCGTACACAGCCCCGTCGAAATGTTGGTAAACCGTTGCGTTATCGTAATGGCTAAGTGTACAGTACATGTGCTGACCAGTCGTGACTGATACCGAACACTTTTTGTAATGTGGATTATGGCCTGGTTTGTGAATACTGATTCTGGACTTTTGAGATCATTCTATTCGCATGTGCATGTATTTCCTTGTACCGGTCTCTGCATAGTCTATTCGCTGTGCATGACAATTACATTAATCTAGACAGTGCTCTGGGCACATGTGCATGTTTGTCCGCATAATTTATTTTCTATAATGCATTCTGTTATGAGCACTGTCCCAGTGTCAGCAAATATTGATTGCATGCCTTTGTACATATTTCTGCTTGCTGTGTTGCTCCATATACCTCCGCTTTGTGGGGGAGGATTGCTATGTATACGTCATACTTCATAATATGATGACTCCTCTTTTCTCTATCATACTGAGCATGCGTCATAACAACATGGTCTTTTGTCCGTCACTACTCTATGAACTGTTTGTGTGTCTGTGAGGTCCGACACAACACTTTCCTTTCTAAATGTATTATTGGCTCAACATCCGAGTGTCCAATTATGGCAGTTCGCTATACTAATGTGGCAGTTGATGACAATTAGTAGCAGCGCACCATACACCATACTGCAAATCGTGTTTTTCCGTGTATGTCAAATTTTCGGTGGTTTCGGCAAAGAAATCAGTCACCTAAATTAGATACAATCACAAAAGGTACTGTATGTGAGGGGAATGCCAGTCGTTCAATTCTACGTTACACCTGAAACCCACGGGGTCCCTTCTTTATACCGAAATTTTTAAATTAATACACATAAAAGGACATGTTCTACGGTACTATCTGGCGCCACTTGCGTTCTCCGAGTTGCAATTCGTGGCACTATTTTGACCACCTAGAAAGCTGGATATAAGGATTTTTTCTGCTGCTCATATATTGCTTTTCTTCAGAATTCCCAAACTCCATTGCAGCGTATTTCTTGCACTTGGAAATACCGCCATTCTGGCAACAGGCTCTCAGCTGCACCAAATAGATAAATAAATAACATTGCCAATATTTCGCCCATTGAGCATCATCAGGGCATTGATTGCATTATGAAAAATATACCTATAGTCTGTATTACGAAGAGTGACGGTGCAAAAGGCCTCATCCGATTTACCAGTGGCTTCTGTGCTTCGTATGCTGATTTGTCTTCAGTGTCTTCTTTTCCGTTAAACTCAATAATCTGTTAACTAGACTGAATCCTTACACAACATGGAGGTTGGCTGGCAGAGTCGTGCCATTAGATGGTGATGTCCAGCCGAATGCAATGCTGTTGCCGCTAAGCCTCTCCGAATGAGTGATGGTGGCCTGTGATTGCGCATTGACACACGCGCATACACACACACACATGCGCGCGCGCGCACACACACACACACACACACACACACACACACACACATGCGCACACATTTACACACACACTTAACTGGTACCCTTTAGCAGCCAATCGGTTTATCGGGTGTTAGCGGCCGTCGTGAGTTCCCTTCGGGAACGGATACGATAATTTACTTTTTTTTTAGCAGCCATGTTTAATTTTTTGCGCAGTTTTAACATAAGTCCTTGCCTTCAGTCAGCTTCCAAATTCTGATTTGAGTTTGCCTCCGTCCTGCTTCAGAGTGTCAGTCCTAGTTCTGCCGATTCGCTGCCGTCTTGCCGTCCTTAGTATTCGCTTTCCTTGTTCTCTCTTAGCTCAGTCCCATCAGACTACGTGTCTTCAGCGGCCAGAGATTATAGTTTGAGTAGTTGAGTATTACCGGTATATTCTCATGATGGCTCGTTTCTCGACCAGACAAAAGACGCCATCGGCCACAGTGGCAGCTCAACCTTCGGATGCAGGACGTAATGTGCGTGTGCGGCGAAAGCCTGTTCGTCTTCAACCGCCCAGAACTCCAATACCTCCCCACTCGGAGTCTGTTGTCTTCGACGTTGCACCGTCAGTGTCTTCTGCCGCCGCCTTGAATGTGTCCCTTGATCCCGGGGCGGCAACTCAAACTTCGGCTGCAGGCAGTGTTACTAAGAAAAGCTCACTAAAGGGAACGCACACTCACACAGTGACACATTCCACATTCGTGCACAACGGAAAGCGATTCGAAGAAACAATAACCTTGAACTTTCTACATGAACTCCGAAAAGCAACTGTTCACACCAGCTAGTCTAAAACACTACTAAAAGTCCAACAACCAGGAACTAAACAAAAGCAGTGCAACACAGCGCGGCGCAAGCTCCGGTGCATGCATCCGGGAACTCGCGAGACAGAAGCATGCACGTGACGGCTCAGGTCTACAGTCAATGCTACCATGAATACAAGCATAATAGAAGCAGATGCGTAGCAGTACAGCACAACCATGCATGTGACATATAGTCGTTGGTTCAGACCTCGGGATCTTCTGAACATTCTCCCCTACCCTGATTGAACGTAGATTAATCAGCCACTAACACATGCACTCGCAATAATGATGAAACATAGTGAAACGCTACAATATAGCCATTTACGGTGCCTCACACCGGATACTAAAAACATAGTGATGACAGCAGCTGTAGTGCGCAGTCTCCAGAATAATATTCACCCTATGCATACATGTGCATAATGTTAAAACTATCCGATAATGTCACGTAGGCAAAGCAATGCGATGTTATACGCACCCACTTGCAGTCACTCAGACGCTATTTAATTACTCTCAGCTTTGCTACTGGACATGTTCATCATACACTCTTCTGACCGTTATTCCGAGCTAAGCTTGCACATCTGAGCGATGGGACGGACCAACGATGTGTCACCAACTTTGACCTTCGCGACTCGGACCCGTCCATCAACGCCAGGGTAGACCTCCTCCACACGTCCCAGCTTCCATTTACCTCTGGGTGTTCCTGTGTTGACAACCAGCACAACATCGTTCACAGCGATGTCTGGTTGCGGCTGCCGCCACTTTGCACGAGTGTGGAGAAGTGGCAATAGCTTGGTCATCCAACGCTTCCATACTTGTAGGACCAAACTCTGGACAACTCGCCAGCGATAACGGTGGCTGTGCGGCACAATGTCGGTGCCCTTTGGTACGAATGGCTGGCCCTGGTGTCCGTAAAGGAAATGATTGGGCGTCAACGGCAGCAAATCTCTGGCATCTGCTGACTGGTAGGTAAGTGGTCGTGAATTCAGTAACGCCTCTGCGCCGGTGATTGCAGTCGCCAATTCTTCATCATTCACTTCCGCACCTGCTAGGATGGCGAAGATGGCACGCTTTGCAGATTTCACTAGTGCCTCGTGTACGCCACCAAAGTGTGGAGCAGCCGGCGGGTTAAATGACCACTTGATGCCTTTGTCCGCTGCTCGACGCTGCACATCTCCCTCCATTGCCTTCAGAAGCTTCTTCATCTCGTAGGCGGCTCCGACGAAGTTGGTGCCGTTATCGGAGACGACCTGTATCGGAACGCCGCGCCGGTTGGTCATCCTCAAGAAAGCATTCATGAATCCGTCGACATCGAGACTTGTTGCCATTTCCAAATGAACAGCCCGGGACTGAAGGCAGGTGAATAGGCAGAGGTATCTCTTCGCCCGAGGTTTTCCGCGTCCCTGCTTGGTTGTGAAAGGTCCGGCGTAGTCCACCGCGACACGCGAAAATGCTCTCAGCGGCAATGACACGCGGACGGTAGGTAGTGGCGCCATTATCTGCGTGCCTGGCTTCGCGGCCTGCCGTTGACAATGACCACACTTCTTCTCCCATGCCTTTATTTCCTCTCGCCCAGCAAGAAGCCAATACCTCTGTGACAGATCAGACAGCGTATGACTTATGCCGCCAGCATGACGGTTCTTCTCATGAGCCTCCTTGACAATGAGCTGGGTAACCCAGTGTCCGCGCGGCAGAATCACAGGACATCTGGCTTGCTCGTCCAGGATCGCGGCATTTCGGAGACGGCTGTCAACACACAGCAGTCGATCATCATTCAGCATTGGTCGTAACTTCGCAAGCTTACTTGATGCTGGGATAGGCTTTCCATCTCTCACCAAGCGGTACTCTTCCAATGACTCTTCTTGTGCTGCCGCAATCACACTAGCTCGGCTGCTCGCAAGCTCGTCAGAGGACAATGGGCCAGTCTCAAGGAGCTCCATTGGCTTGCAGCAGTTCTGCACAAAACGCATCACCCATGCTCGGCGTCGTACGAGACGGCTGATGTCGGAAAACCTTGTTGGATTCAAGCTCCAAGGTGCCTCGGCCTCAGCCGCCACTGTAGCTAGCACGACTGGTGCCTGCCCCGACGGGTCTGCACTCTTCTTTTCCAAGTTGACGGTAGACTTTGGCTCTTGAAGCTGCTGTGCTGGCCATTCTGCTTCCTCTTTGCGGAGAAAGTCCGGCGCCGACCACCAGAGTTCGTTATGGATCAGAGCCTGGGCTGACGAACCTCGGGAGAGAACATCCGCCGGGTTCACTTTAGTCGGTACATGACGCCACTGACTGGGACTGGTGCTCTGCTGAATCTCTCCGATGCGTGTTGCAATGAACGGCTTGAAGCTCCGCGCACGGTTCCGGATCCAGTACAGCACATTCAGACTGTCTGTCCAAATGGTTGCTTCACTTGCTGGTAGACTGAGGACATCGGATGACCAGATAGCCAACTGCATGCCCATGACTGCAGCTAGCAGCTCTAGTCTCGGAATCGATATGGCTGCAAGCGGGGCTACACGGGCTCTACTAGCGATGAGAGCAGTAGACACATGGCCATCATCATACACACAACGGAGATAGCTGACCGCACCATAAGCGGTTTCTGAGGCGTCGGTGAACACATGGATTTGCCTGCTGGTAGGGCTGCCTGCCTCAACTGCCTGCAAACAGCGTGGGATCGAGAGGTGAGATAGCTCGGCTAGGTCTGGGTACCAACCCGTAACCCGCTGGCTTAGGACATCCGGAAGCGGTTCATCCCAATCCAACGCCAGAAGCCACATGTCTTGAATCAGCTGCCGAGCGCTCACTACATAGGGGCCTACGAATCCAAGCGGGTCAAATACGCTTGCCGTTGCGCTCAGGAACGATCGCTTGGTGACTTGTTTCGACAGGTCCGGTACGTTCGGCTTGAACGTAAAGCTATCTGTTGCGGCCGACCAGAGCAGTCCCAGCGTCTTGACACTTGGCAGCTCTGGGCAGCTCACGTCGATCTGGCTGGCACGATCTTGCTGAGGCACTTTCTCCATGACCACCTTTGAGTTGGAGAGCCATTTTCTGGTATGCATTCCGGCTTCTTTCCAGCACGCTGACAGCTGCTCATACATTTCCACACCTTCGTTGGGATCTGTGGCCGAGTCCATGGAGTCGTCCATGTACGTTGAGTGCAGCATAGTTTCCGCTGCTAATGGGTACTTGTGGCGGTTTGTTCGGGCATGTTCTTGATAGACGAACTGAGCCAAGAACGGCGAGGCGTTGGCGCCGAACACGAGTCTTTCGAATTCGTACACACGTGGCTCAGCTGTTGGCTCCATGCCTCGCCACAGGAATCGGTGGTAGGGACGGTCCTCTGGACTGAGATGAACCTGAAGGTACATCTCGGCGATATCGCAGATGATTCCTACTGGTTTGTGCCGGAAGCGGGTCAGCACGTTCGGCACCTGGCGTTGCAGTTTCGGCCCTGGCAGCATGGTATCGTTGAGTGCAATGCCTTTGCACTTTGCTGATGCATCAAAGACCATCCGGGTCTTCGTCGTAGCTTTATCCGGTCTCAGGACTGCGAAGTGCGGCAGGAACCATTGTTGACCATGCTTGAGCTCGCTGCTACTGACCTCTCGCACGTACCCTTTCTTGACGTAATCCAGTACGATGTTGCTATAAGCTGTAGCTGCTGCTGCATCCTGGCTTAGGCGTCGTTCCGTGCTTTGCAGACGCTTCAGTGCAGCCGCGAAATTGTCAGGTAGTGTTGGCCGACCAGCACGCCATGGGATGCCGACCTGGTACCGTCCATCGGCGGTCCACTGCATGGACTCTTTGGCAGCCTGCATCGCTTCCTTCTCCTCCACAGAAAGAGTGGGCTGCTGCGGTTGAGCCTGGCCAAACTCTTCAATGGCCCATAGCCGCGCAATACTTTCCCGAACGTCGTGTGGCGCAGCCCGTGTAAGACAGGTTACCGGGTCTGCCTTGACCTTGCCAATCCTGCCGACGCAGGTCCATCCAAGGGGGGTCAGGCGAGCAATCGGCTCTCCAGGTTGCCCATGGACTTCTCGTATGGCTGCTTGAAGCTGTACTGCATCAAGGCCGAGTAACACATCTACCTGTCGACGGTTCGGCAGTGCTGGGAATGGAATGTTGCGGTGGTGTGCCCAATCA